GAAAATCATCTGGGGAAGATGTACTAAAGCTTTAAATCTTCTCAAATGAGTTTAATGTGCACCGACCAGTTTTGGAGGCTACTTTGGAGACGATCTAGGGCTATGGTTAAAAAATAAAAATAAATCCAAAATAAATTGGCAACAAAGTTAGGAGGACTCCTTTCTAATCGGGAGCTCTTTTTTGCTCCAAAGAGAATTACTGCAAATAAATTTTAAAGAGGATACACATTAAATGACTATTTAGCCAATTGCAACTGAAGAAGGCATGGGTGTACGTTTCAGTAAGGTACAGCAATAGAAATCAAATTTAAAACCCCAAGGGGAGGAAATCACCAGGGTCAGTGAAAGTTTGTAGCCGGGGGAGATTATGTCACATATTTACATTATTATTTAATTGTATGTTAAACAGGATTTGTAAAATGAACTACAAATCCAAATACCCCCATGGAGGCAGAGTGCTAAAAACTTTCATCTCGGGTTGACACGGATTAGAGATTTGAAAGTCCCCTTCTCCCTTTACCATGTCAAATTATAAAAGAAAAAAAAAATAAAACGCTGATCTGAGTCTCTAATGAAAGGTAACTGTGCAGTTATTGGAAACATACTTTCACTGCAAAAGCGGATCTGATTACAGCGCCGAGCAGGGCCTGCGCCTTCCTACCTTAAGGTTTCGATGGCGAGATCGCTGTTTACTTTCATCTGGTTTTCATTTGAAAAATCCCATCTGTGCTGAGCCTGAAAGAATTGTAAAACTACTAAAGTTACAAGCATTTAAGTAAGGTGAACAGAATTTCCTGGGTTTACTTTGCTAAAATGATGTTTAAAGAAGATTTGGGTGATGTAGGCTGTGAGACCACTGTAATATACCTGCTACAACTAATTATGTGTCTGAGATGAGATGCAAAGCAGAGCTCCAGCCCCACAGGGGAGCAGAAAGATATCCTGGCAGCTTTGTGCACTTATACTAAGTATGGACATTTTCAAAAGCGAATGTATTCTACTTAAACTAATTATGCAAAACTTTGGATGATAGCGTATTTATCTGCCATTTTATATTACAATCCAAACACTTTTTGCTGCACACATAAAAGATGGAAATAATGGAGTAGGGAGAGAATGTTTCCATGTTTCAAAAGAACTAAAAATCAAGTCAAATCAAATAGACCAGAAAGTTCTGCTTTTCTATATTACGCACGAAGGATCAGGTTTGCTATGAGAAAACAACGTGTAGCTTGGTTACTCCGGCATCAGCAGATGAGGCGTGTCTCACAGAAAAGAGGAGCTCAGAGAGGAGTGGAAATGTCAGTGTTTGATGCGAATGTTTTAAAGGACATCTTGGGACTAGGCGTTAGAGAAGCAAAGCAGCGTTTGGGTCAAACATGACAGATGGGCCAGGAAGACACAGCACCTCCCACCCCAGGTACATCATTTCTATGAATGGGGATGATCCAAGCCAGATATTTGAAAAGATTACTTAGACATTTCTAAAGAGCCCTTTCCAGAGTTCAAAGGAGGCACTGAGCAACCATCTGGCCTTTGCCCAACTTTGGATGATCACTCATTGAGTGTTCAGATGAAGTTCAGGCCAGACATTGGTCCAAGAATCAGTATCTATGTCTTGGTCATTTTACCGCAGCTAATTCCAGACAAATCCTCTGCCAGCTCTGCATCACTGGGTGATCGCCTCCACATGCCTCTGTGTGAGTGGAAGCCCAACTGGAACTTCTGGAAGAGGCCAAACACAGTGTCTCATTCTCACCTGGTTGTGCAGTCTAGAATTTACAGAAGCCCTCACTTCATCTCATTGCCATTGCTCCCTTAGTCATGGCCTCTGGGAAGAACGATTCTAGAAATGGAAAAAGAAACTTCACTGAAAGTACAGAGCCAAGTCAGGGGGCTCTGCCAGCTAACAGTCAGTCCTTCCATCGGAAGCGAGGTCATCCTTGACTTTTGTCTTCTCTGCCTGTTTCTTATTACCTGACGTGACTCAGTCGGGGCACAGCCTCCTGGAAAACTTCCTTGACCCCCCAGTTCTGATAGATTCTGATGCACGTATCTCCCCATTGTGTTTGCATAATGATATGTGCATTGAAAATACATCTCATGACACTCCTTCGTGGTTACTGAATGGCCTTGTTTCTCGCGCAGCTCTGTAAGGTCCTAGAGGGCAGACTTGCTATCTTGATTCACCATATGTAGGCATCAACAAATATTTTGTAAATAAATCAAGATGTGAATGAATATTTAAGGTGTATTGATTATACAGACCTGTAATTAATTATATCTACTTGCAAGGGCTTTGGGATCTTCAAATATCCAGTGAAATGTTCAGAATTTTAATTCTTTCTATGGTCATATAAATTATTTATGGTGAACCTTTTAATTTTTATAATATACTATTTCTTAGAGAAGTTCTAGATTTATAGAAAAATTGGCTGGAAGATAGAGAGATTGCCTATATATTCTTCCCCCACACATGGACAGCCTCTCCTGTTATGAGTATTTTATACTAAAATGTGTTACATTGTTAGAATTGATTAACCTACAATGACGCATCATAATCACCCAAAGTCCATAGTTTGCGTTAGGTTTCATTCTTGGTATACATTTTATGGGTTTTGAAAACTGCATAGTCACATGCACCCATCAGGATGGCATCAAACAGATTGATTTCACTGCCTTAAAAATCCTCCATGCTTTGCCTAGTCACCCCCCCCCCCAACTCCTNATGGGAGTGAAAGGGGCTACCAGCATTTTGTGGATGGGGCCTGGGGTGCTAAAGTACTGAAATGAGGATGACACTCTTACAAGCTGAGAATTTTTCCTGTATCTGTACAATTTTCAAATATCTATATGAATAAATGTTCCTGTAAGCGAAAACTTATAATTACTTGAGCCTAGTAGCTAATCCTGTTAAATACAGAGGCATAAGGTGTTTTATCTTAATTGGATTTTACTTTTTAAAGCAGTTATAGGTTCACAGAAAAATTGAAGGCAAGGTGCAGAGGTGTCCCATAGACGCCCTCCTCACACACGCGTGGCCTGCCGCATTGCCAGCCTCCTCCGTGAGAGCCGTACGTTTGTTACAAACCATGAACCCGCGTTGTCACATCATTGTCACCTAGAGCCCATGGTTTACTTAGACTTTGTTCGTGGTGCTGTACATTGTATGAGTTTGGACAAGTGTATAGTGACCCGTGTCCATGATGATAGTATTATACAGAGTAGCCTCACTGCTTTAAAAACCCTGTGCTCTGCCTGTCATCCTTCCCCCCCCCCAACTCCTGGCAACCACTGATCTTTTCACTGTCTCCATAGCTTTGCCTTTTCCAGAATGGCATATAGTTGGAATCATGCAGTATGTTGCCTTTTCAGATTGGCTTTTTTCACTAATTAATATGCATTTAAGATTCCTCCGTGCCTGTTCATGGCTTGATAGCTCTCTCTCTCTTTTTTTTTTTTTTTTTATAGCACAGAATAATAGTATTTCATTATCTGGATGTATCACTATTTATTTACTCATTCACTTACTGAAGGGTATCTTGGTTGCTTCCAAGTTTGGGCAGTTATGAGTAAAGCTGACATAAACATCTGTTTATAGCCATTTTTGTGCAGACATAAATTTTCAACTCATTTGGGTAAATACAAAGAAACATGATGGCTGGATTGCACGGGAAGAGTATGTTTAGTTCTGTAAGAGATCGCCACTGCCTCCCGAGTGCCCGTGTAACCCTGCGTTCCCACCAGCAATGAACGACAGTCCTCTTGTTCCTCATGTTCATCAGTATTTAAAGTCACCAGTGTACTGAATTTTGGCCATTCCAATAGGTGTGCCCTGGTAGCTCTTTGTTTCAGTTAGAAGCTCCCTAATAACATGCCGTGTATACTTTCCTATGCTTATTTGACAACCTGGATATCTTCTTTGGAGAAGTGTCTCCTTAGGCCTTTCACCCATTTTATAAAATCCAGTTGCTCATTTTTTATTGTTGAATTAAATTAGTTGGTAAGATTTATCTGAAAAATTTATCATCAAAATTCTAGTCAATAAACTGCTCAACCACACAGTTCTCAGATACTGATCAGTGGCTCTTAAGTCTGTCAGTTTAAATATTGACAATCTGTACCTACAGTTTTCTCTAGGCTCACATTTTATCGCCAATCATCGTTTAAATAGGAGCCAACCTGAATAGAGATTCTAATGACAGGCATCCTGAGCGTTCACATGCTGGAGCAAACAAGATGTTTAGAAAAACAAATAAATGGGCCAATCAGAAGTACTATAAAGCACTGTTTAATTTGCTTTTTTAAAAAATTAAATATATACTAGTATGGATTTAATTCTAAAATCCAGACCAAAAAACTTGTAATGTGGGCACAAAATCCCACATTTCCCAGCCTTATTTCCAGCATTATCATCTCTTGAGAAATACCCAGAAAGAGAAATCTTTGACAACATTTAATACCTGTATGTAGTTACACTCTAAGATTCATAGATGTTATTTCAGGTCATTTTAATAAAGTACAAAAACATAATAAGAGAACTTTGATTACAATTGGCCACTTCCCATCCTCAGGTCTAAGCTTTTTAAATTTTCAAATAATTTTCCTGCAGGGTAAGTGAGACCTTGTTACCATGATGCACTTTCTGGTTACAACAGCTTCTTACAGAACAAAACTGGAATTGCAACTAGAAATATATACATAACATTCAAATTACATCCAGCTCTGCAAATGGGAGAGACAGAGAACAGAAAACGTATTCCATTTACATAAAACAAACAGATTTTCCTCTACAGGAGGCACCTCTTGAAGCAGGACTCTGCTCAACCAAGTAGAGCTTCTTGCGAATCCAAAGAAGCCAAGTGTCAGAGATTTCTGGAACACAGCCCTCCTGGCTTCTGCAATATGGAATTTAATCTTTTTACAAGTAGAAAAAATATTAAATTACATTTTTAGTAATAATTTTATACTACCTAAAACTTAGGAAGTTTTTTGAATATTAAATCAAGCTTTATGGGTTAATACTGGGAATATTAGGGAGAGTTTTCAAGGTATTGATCATTCTATCGCAATCTGTGTATGGTTGTAAATTGACAGCCACTATTTTTTGTCTTCCTTTCCAGAGCATGTAAAATGAATACTGAAATATTGATATTGATGAAAGGAAATGATTCCATCCTGTGAACGAGACTGAAGTGGCTTCAACCCCTCAATGCTGATATTGTTCAGGTAAGCTCTGTGTTTCAGGAACTGTCTACACGTCCGGCTGATTTATTCTGTAATCTTTTTGGAAGCAGATATTTGCCTTGCCTGCCAATCAATGGTTATTTTTTATTGAGTGCTCAGTATGTTTGGTGGAGTATACGGTACTTGTCCTCAAGGGGCTTATAACATGTGATTGGAGTCTTGATTAATTTAACAGTTGTCTAAACGAAGAACTCTCTTGTACTATGTGACAGTCCCTAAACTAGGAAGCTCTCATATATCCCAATGTGGTGGATCTTTTATTGCCATTTTACAGATGGGGAAATAAAAGCTCAGAGCCCAAGTTCTCCTACTTGGTTGTGCTGGAATTCAAGGGCAAAATGCCATGCTACCAAAGCCAGTGTGATAAATTTCACATGCTTTCTTATATCAGTTGCCTTTAAACTTCTCAAAGAGGCTTCCTCTTCACCCTTTCTTTTCTTATTACATGAAATCATTTCTTTTTTGCATTTAAAATTCTTTACATTGGTGACAGTAATCTTAGTATATTTTTAGGCCATAAGACCTTTAGTGGAAAACAGAAAGAAAAAAAAAGAAGTAAATTATCAAATAGTTAAAAATGCACACTATGTAGACAAGAGACAATTTTGTTTGGTGAATATGTTGGGAAGGAACCTTAGTTTTTTTTTAATATATCTCTATTGATTTCAGAGAGAGGCAGGGAGAGGGAGAAAGAGATGGGAACATCAATGATGAGAGAGTCATCGATCGGCTGCCTCCTGCAAGCCCCCTACCAGGGATCAAGCCCGCAACCCGGGCATGTGCCCTGACCCGAATCGATCCCCAGTCTCCTGGATCCTAGGTTGATGTTCAACCGCTGAGCCACACCGGCCGGGCAAGAGCCTTAAAAAATTTTAAAGGTTCCAAAATGCAATGGAAATACACTCTAGGGTGAATAAGTGCTCATAACAATAACAAAAGCAGTAACATATATATATTTTTAACTCTACAAACAGTGAAATACAAAGGAAAAATATATCCAGATGATGTTTTGGTGTCAGACAACTAAAAATAATGCACTGATGGAAATAGCAATATTATACTTTGGTGTATTAGGTTTAACCAAATCACTGAATGTATGAAGGACAGCAAGCTGAGTAGAAATGTCATAGCATTAAAGATGCTAAATAAGCATTCTGTGGTGCTGATCACTGCGGGCTCTTGGAGGAAACGCTCCCAGCCAGACATAGCTCGGAGGGGCTTGTGCCTGCTTTAATGTGGCTCAATAAGTTCTGCTGCAGCCAAGAAAGTGCTGATAAAATGTACTGACTGCGCATTCCACAACTTTTTCCCTCTTTTTAAAGGAGTATTTTTAAAAAGTTAACAATTTAGCTATTTAATAAATATTTACTAAACACATTAATTAATGATTTGGCAAGTGTTTTTATAGCTCTTACTATGTGCCAAGAATTGTCCTAAGGGTTTTTTTACAAATGCGAATTATTTCTCTTAACAGCCCATTTATTCATATTGATTCCTCTTAATTTGCTAAGTCCTCTTGTTTTATCCACATTATTGTGGAAACTGAGGCACAACAATGCTAAAATACAGCCATGGTCAGTTAGCAAGCAGCAGAAATCTGACCCTATCATTCATGCCATTACTGTTATACTGTGTGCCTCTCACTTTTTAAGGAAATCATCTAGATTATGTAGCCCTGAAGAAGAAGTGTGGTGGTGAGCCAATTTTTTATTATGGAACACTAAAAGAAAAGATTTATAGCAACATTTTTTAAAGTTCATAAGACAAATAATGTATTGGGTCATATACAAAATATGTATGTCCTTAAAAATGTAATGACCTACGAGTCAGGCCCAGTTGGTCAGACAAATAAACATGAAAAATTCTGCACTGACTCTTAGCCAAAGAAATGCTAATATCTAGGCATGTTTGGGGGGAGAATTAATATGAAGGCTACACTGTACTTATATTTTAGTTTGAAATTAAAATGTGTCCATTTTGCAAAGTTCAGTATTCACATACGGCTGACCTCTACATAACATTGATCACTGCAGGTTTCAGAAGATGAAAGCCTCGGTTGGTGAAATTGTCTGTAGATTTGTCTCTGTTCCCCATTTTCCTGGTGACAAAGTAGGCTGGGAACTGTAATAAACACTTGCAGAAGACACTCTAGCCGACACTGTGTGCCATTTCCCATCTGTGCTCATATTTAAAGTAGAGGTGCCAATATTGGGAAATGCTTTGCAAATCAGGGCAGAGCACATGACATAGGAGAGCGGATCATGGTTTCTGAATATTACACTACAAGGCAGTGACCGCAGTGGTGCAAGTTAGATGAGCCTTGTGAGGAGGCGGGTCATGCTTGACTAAGACCCTATGATTATATTGAGATTCTTGCACATGAAAAATACATATTTCTTTGTGTTATCAAATTAGCCAGATTCTTGATTTTCACAGCATCTTTCCAGTTGAATCTGTCTACATAGATCACATAATTTGCACACAATTCAGATCGGTTATCATGAGCCGACTCTTGTCTCCGGAACTCCCAAATCTGCTGTTAATTTCCTCAGCTATAAAGAGGAGTCAGTTTCCGAAAATGGCATCTTGTTTTATTTACACAAATAGAGACATGTTCCTTATAAAAAAAAAATTCCATAACATGCAAAAGGGGAAATGACTACTTTCTCACCCAATATTACTGTCAAAAATTATATTCGGAGGGCTAGGTTTCTGGGATGAAGGTTTTAAATAATGTATAGCACATGTGGGGACCATAAACAAAAAGATATTTGAAGTTCACGAATAACATATTAGTTTTTCTTATTGTTTTCTTTCTTTCTGAAGATTGAACAAGTAAAATAAATCACCTTTCAATCTGAAAGAATTAAATGTCCCTTATTTGCAGAAACCGAGCAATTTGGCTGATCGTGTTTAATCCAATTATTCGTGGGTGAGGGCTGGCCTCTTTCCTCTGGGGGAGCAGCAAGCTGTGTAGAAATGAACCACAAGCATGAAGGCCCTGGGTGTAGACCTACTCTGTGTGCTCCTTATATTGTCTTCTGCTTGTTGACCAGGGAAGACACGCAGGCATGTTTGAGGTGCACGTTGCTTACTAATTTCAGACTTTCCTTAGCCATTCCCCTCTCCTGCTTCCTTCCTCTCACTAGATAGCGACAGAGGACAGGCCAGATTTTTGACATGATGCGAAGTAAAAATGTGCTCCGAAACACACCCTTTAAAGACATTCCCATGTAAGTGTAATCAAATCGTGGTAAAAAATTCCCTTCCTCAAGAGTTTCTCATTTATTTAATAGCCATTGGCATTCTCACTCTTTCTTTCCTTCCACCCCTCCCTCCACCTCGCCCCTGGAGACCCGGTTCTTTTCAAACTGGTTTGCCACAGAAAGAGACACACAAATTTTGGACTCAAATAACAGTTTGGAAAGATGGCGGGAAGTGCTCAGCTGTGAGAGCTCTGACTGTTGTAATAGGTATCAGATGAGCCGGTGACATCACTATGGCCCAGTCCCTGCTTTGGCAAAAATCTGTTCTCAATTTTTGAGTTGCCTAGAAGCAAAAATAATACTGAAGCAAAATGGGTTATAAAATCAGTGTGCTCATTGGTATCATGTAAGTCAGTTATTTTATCACTTTAAATATCTAAAAACACTCGTGTACATTAAGAAGACACTGGAATTGAGAGCAGAGAACAGGACATTGGGACATCAAAATCAATAAAGGCTCAATGTCCCTTTTACTCATGTGCTTGGAAGGGTCAAGGCCATAGCTAGCTCCTCAGGTAGCAGTTTTATAAAGTGTCTTGAATGTGGCACAGAGGGGAGCAGGAGAGGCTTTTTCCCTTCAGTATTATCTTCAGTTTGTCACAAGAACTCATTCCTTCTCGGGGGAAAACAATTTTAAAAGGTATCAATTGTTTTTGACAATCTCATAGTTTCCCTCCAATGCTGAGCTACCAACCGTCTAGTAGCCTAGTTGAAGCCAATGCTCACATCTCCAGCCTGACTCTTCATGCCTAACGCCAGCTCCCCTCAAGTCAGCGCCTCTCGACCCTGAAGACTCCCTCTATTCTTAATCTTAAAAAGTTTGGGAGAGCAGAGGATGCGGTGAGGAGTAAGACACAGAACTTGTTCTTGAGAGACCCTGAGGGAGGTGCCTGATCCTCACATCGGGCATCTCCCTCTTTAGCATATAGGCTACTTTATGTCCACTTATTCTGGGCTTGAAGCTGTAGTCCTCAATGCCAGGATACGCAGAAAGGCATTCCTAAAAATGATGTTGTGCTGGGTTAGCACCACCTGCTGTGGTCACCCTATATGAGGAATCATTTCCAATAATGGAACCAACAGAAAATCCTGTTCAACACTGCGAGCAAAAGGCAAGCACTGTTTTAATGGTGTGTCCTTTTCTAAATAGAAGGTGAACAAATGCTAGGTTCTTTCTCGCTTTACCGTCCCTATCACCCACACTTAGTGCCTTCTTTCCCTAGATATACTCCAAGTTCAGAGCAGATTAATTCACTTCACTGTGCTTGAGGCATTTCCCACCCATCTTAAGGCACCGGGACCGTTCAAACACGAAGAAAGTCCATTTTGTCTCTGTGACACCGGAGTTCTGGAAACACAACGGGCATTCGTCAGATCTCCTGCTGCAGAAATAACTGGAAGACTGAAGAAGTCGGGCTTATCAACTCATTTCCGTGAGTGTGACCAAGAGGCCGATCGCAAAATGTAACACACGAGGAGGAAAATAGAGACACCCTGTCCTCCGAAGAGTGAAGGGCTGCCTGCACGGTTTTATGCTTAGTATGGAATATTTCATTTGAGATCAGCGCTATTCATTTTCATATTTCTTGGATCTGAAATTTGACAAATTGATGAGCACAGTGGCTTGTTCCGGATGCTCATAACCTCAGAGGGTGCAGAAGCCAAACACGAGACGTGGGCTTTGGGATTGCGGCCCGGGCTGCATCGGCTCTGCTCAAAATGAGGGATCTTGATATCCTTCTGTGTCTGTTCCTGCTTAACATCAGAATCCTTTCTCCTAGAGAGCCCTGGCACACTCCAGAACCTCAAATTGCATGGAAATAATCGAGGGTGGCTTACTGTGGTCGTTCACACCAAACGCAAACCCTGTGAGGCTGGTGAGCGATGTGAAATAACACTGCTGTGTCCTGGCCACCGAGATTATCTGCAGGAACGGTTAGTCGGCTGTGTCACTCCAAACCTCAAATATGTATCATGCTACTTTCATTCAAGTCATATGGGTTCAGAGCTCTTCCAACACAGCATAAAGTTACTGTGGAAGCGAAAGCTACACAGAAGTACATAAATCCCACACTCAGCCCGTTGCAAACCATATGCAGGAATTCTTTACCTATGGAGGCAGATTCTTCTGCAGACAGCATCTTAGTCTTTCCCTGTCTTGTTTGTAAGAAGTGATACTGAAATAAACCATGTCTCAAAACACAGGAGGAGGTTCTGACAGGACACATATTTATCTCCTGCCAGGATTATCTAGAGGATTTTTACAACTTGGCTTCTGAAAAAGAGCAGTCGAATGTACAGCTTGTAATAGAGCTGTAATGCTTTCTGAAAAAATGCCTTTAAAGGCATGGCACTAACTATGTTCATATACGCAAGTGTGTGTATACAGACACATTGATGCAGAGGTTGATAAATGTGATTTTCCTGCCTTTGATTTTTTGTGCCGGAATAGAGTTTGGCCAACACTTTACAAACATTACTTTCTTTGCTTTCAATTTTTTATTATTATTTTAAAACACAAGCAGTATAATGATATCTGGCAAGGATACATTGGAACACTGTGGGGTTTTTTCTATATCTTGTGTTTCTAAAGTCCCCATCTTCCATCTCTATCTTAGCAAAAATGAACAGGTCCTACATTTTTGCAGTTACATCAGATGTCACAGTGTGACACATAACATGCTGCCACCTGACAAAGGGAACCGTATCCGTTTTTTGCTGTTGGTTCCGGTTCTCCTGGTAACTTACATCCTGGGGAAAAACTTGCTCTGCACTGATGAAGCCAGGGTTGTATCCAGAGCTGAACAAATCGTCTTTCTTGCTGGTGCTGATTTCTTCAGCAGCCTCTGGAACTTGTCAAGGACAAGGAGGGTCAGGAATAGCTTTCCCATTTTAAGCTACATGACAAAATAGCATCAAGTGTCCCATTTCAGCGAGTCTGCATGAAGTTTATTCCTGTCATTGGTGCAATCAAATCAAATCTGTTCACCAGAAGCCAAAGGTATGAGAAGGGTCTTCTCTGTAACTCAGGAATTACAGCGCCATCTACTGGCATGCAAGATGGAATTATAGGCCAGAACTGTAAGGCAAACAAAATATATTAATTTACCTTTCCTATTATATTTGGAGAAAAGAAGTACACTATTTCTCTCTTGAAGAAGTATAGTATTTCCCTCTTGAAACTAAATAATAAAATAGAACTTCTAATGGGAAGCTCAGATAAAATAGAGTCTGTATCATATGAGTAAAATAAAATAATTTATATTAATTAGTTAATCAGCAAGCGGTGGTTAAAAATGTGCTCATGTTTAGTTTGTTGTTCTTTTCTGGAATAATTGTGATACCTAATAACTCTTGTCAGATAAGCTGCGTTCTAATTTGAAATATAAGAAGACAAAAATAAGACACCGAATGGAAGATAGATCATGTTGGCATGAAGATAAATGTACGGGACTTGAAGTTAGAACACCTGAGTCTAAATGTTGCAACTCCGTTTATTAGCCTGACAATTTGGGGCAGCTCACTTAACCTCAGTTTTTTCTGTCTGAAAATTGAGGAGGATAAATAATATCTGCCTCACCAAGGCATCATAATAATATGCCCTAAATTACAAAAAGTGATACACATGAAGGGTATAAAATAAAATCGTGAAGTCTAGTGAAATGAGAGAAACGCGGAAATCTAAACACTGCAGCAGGAGCAGTTAAGGCCAGAGCACTTACGGGGCTGCTATAGAGAGGGCCTGGGTAATGAGTAATGTGTTCCTAGGTGTATAAAACACGTAAGTAACCTAGACGTAGGACACACGCCTCTGAGGAGGGGAAAATGCATGAACAGACATAATCCCCCCGTGGCTGCTGGTTTCGTTTATATCGAAGGGCTTGAAGGATGGGAGAGAGAATAGATGAAGCTAAAATTTGATCTCTGGCTTGGTGAATATAAGTTCTAAAGAATTAGCAGGGGAGACAATAGAAAATCACGTCTAAATAAAAGAAAAACAAGGAAGATGATGGAGGTAAAGGGCCCCAGGAATTGTTAAGCTGAAAAGGGACACTTCCTAGAACAGGAGTGAAAACCTGAGAGAGCCACATGAACTCGGAGAGCCCGCGGCCTGGCTCGGAGGGTTGGGTGCCTCCCAGGCGCCGAGAGCTTGCTGGTCAGCTGCGCAGAGCACATGCTTGGGTTTCCGACCCCATCCCCAGCAGGGGGTACGCAGGAGGCAGGTGATCGATGTTTTGCTCTGGAATTGATCTCTCTTTCTCCTTCCTCTGTCTCTAAAAATAAATGTTAAAAATCTTAAGAAAAAATAAAGCCTCCCAATAAAGGACTCAGTGCATCTTCCTTCAAAAAAAAAAATTAACTTGGAGAGCATGAAATAAAAACGATAACATTCATAACTAAAATCAGGGGGGTTGCTAGAAGTTGAATGTAAGTGTTAGAATTCTAAGGTGAGCTAATTCATTACAGACACCTGGCCCTCTCCTGTCACTGCTGAGCGATCAAATGGCTCCTAGAAGAACACTGCTCTCTTCACCCGAAGCCCACTCTGCATCGGAAATTTGCAGCCCCCCAAGACCAAAGGCCTGAGATTCCTGGGAAGGGAATTCTGAAGCCCACCTGCACTTCAAGTAGCAAACAAAGGTATGAAAGTCTTGTGGATTTTTTTATTGCATGTCTTCATTCAAAAACATTACTTTCCCTTGCATTTTAATTCCCCCAACCGAGAATGTAATAATAATAATAAAAAGACTTACACCATCATTTTCTTTTTAAGGATTGCTCAATGAGAGTAATACAGCTATTGTCCATTTTTAGACAATGAAGGGAAATTAATACTGGGCAAACTTGTATATTTTCTAAAACCTCTCACATTTTTAGTACCAATTAAAGAGCATAAATTCCCCTTCAATATTTCTACTGAAAAACACACGCGTTAAACATGATGTATATTAACATCAATAGAACTACTGGAAATTGCTTAGAATGCTAAATTCCTAAATTCTCTCTTGTTGATAAAACATTTAGTCAGCTACAGTTTCTCTATTTTTGTAATTCGGAATGTAAATGTAAATTCCATTCTCTCCCACCCACACCACCTTTGAAGGCCCAGTTACAGGCCGCCTCCTGCCCGCAGCAGTTGATTCCCTGTACTGTAAAAGCCTGAAGGTGAAATTCCGAGTTCTTAAAGCACACCCTGCCTATTTAAAGGATCATTGCCTGCTAAAATGAACCAAACTCATGAGTCCGTGTCTTAGTTGGCTTCTATTCCTTTCTCAATTGCATTGCAAAGTATCTCTTTTGTACATGAACATTTATTTCATCTCTCAAATGAAAATCGCTTCTTTCCTTCGAAGCCCCAGAGGCTTTAAAGGATTCCTCACTTACGGTATTTCTTTTTCCCTTGCATTTTAATTATTGTTGTCATTGTCAATGGATCTTAGCGTAAAGTGCCGCTCAAACCAGTTGTCGCCCTCTGGGAGGAGTCACTAGATTGAAGGATTGCCCCCCGCCCCCTGTAACACAAACCACAAACACACACTCACACATCCCTTAGCCCATATCAGGGATGTAGGTGGATGTGACAGGAACAGGAACAGGGTACATGAGGCACTGCAGCCCTGCTACATTGATCAGACCGTTTATGGGAGGGATGGAGTCCCCATACCTGATTAAATCCTTTGGCAGTGGTTGCCAAAACTAGCCAGACTTCAAAATTACCAAAGAGCTTAAAAAAAATTTTTTTTAAAAGAGCTTACCTAAGTCTTATCTCAGAAATTCTGAATTTTACTTCCCCAGGATTTAGCCATATAAAAATTTTAATTGAATTTATTGGGGTGATAGTGGTTCACAAAACCACGCAGGTTTTTTAAGTGTACAACTCAGCAAAACATCATCTGCACACTGCGTCGCGTGCCCATCACTCCCAGCAAAGTCCCTTTCCATCTCCATCCCCCCTTTGCCCACCTCCACCTGCTCCCCACCCCGCTTTCCCCATCACTCCCAGCAAAGTCCCTTTCCATCTCCATGCCCCCCTTTGCCCACCTCCACCTGCTCCCCACCCCGCTTTCCCCCTGGCTATCTCCACCCTGTTGTCTGTGTCCCTGGGCTATGTGTAGATGTTTTTTGGTTAATACTTTCACCACCTTTCAGTCAGCCCCCCAGCCTCCCTCCCCCCTGAGAGCCGTCAGCCTGTTCCATGTATCCATGTCCCTGGTTCTATTTTGTTTGTCAGTTTATTTTGTTCATTAAAATCCACATATAAGTGAGATCATATGGTGTTTGTCTTTATCTGACTGGCTTATTGTGCTTAACATAATACTCTCCAGGTCCATCCATGGTGTCACAAAATTTAAAATTTCCTCTTTTTATGGCCCAGTAGTATTCCATGGTGTAAATAAATGTACCTCAGCTTTTTTCATCCACTTATCTACTGATGG